TATCTATCTATCTATCTATCTATCTATCTATCTATCTATCTATCTATCTATCTATCTATCTATCTATCTATCTATGCTTTGGCTCTGTAACCATATCCTCATTTTCTTCCCTAGCATTCCACCCTATCTCGCAAGTTTGTGGAGGTGATGACAGAATACAACACAACTCAGTCTAAATATCGAGATCGATGCAAAGATCGTATCCAGAGGCAGCTGGAGATAAGTATGTCTGTTTACCTTTCTAAGTGTTTAGCTAAAAAAAAAAAAAGGAGTCCTAATGCGGTGCCTTTGAAAAAACAAACACATCCCTCATTTTCTTCTTAGATGGTAAAATATTAAATGCACTCCCCCAGAAGAGATTGATCATGCAGGTTGGAAGGGGACGGGGAAACCTTTGTGACATTAGTTGTAAGAAAGATGAGAGCAGCACACGAATGTTTCTGCTACTTTTCCCAAAAAGTTTTTTAATTTTTTAATTTTTGCACATCTCTATACGTGAGCAACATGGTTCCAGATTATAACACTTTTACATAATCATACTTTCATTTCCACCAATCTTATATAATATCATCTCATATCATTATCCATTTTGCTTATCTTTAAATAAATTTCTATTTTATATTTCAATTCATTAATTCAATATCAATATCATTTCATCCAAATATAGATTCCCAGTTCTTTATCCCCTATTATTTCCATTTTTAGCTTACCACCTATTTTATTTTACATTACACATCATTCTTGTCCTTAATTTTCCCTAAACCAATTATATAATAAACAATCTAAAGAAAAGCAAGAATAAAACAAAATCAATATATTTAGGATCCCCTCAATCTATCTAATTTAATGATTCATTCCCCAACTTTTAAGCATATTAACACTAAGTAATCAATTGTATATCTTAAGACATGTATATTTTAAGGTATCCCCCCCTTAAATCGCTAGAATGACTTCCTAATATATCTCATTTCATCTTAACTTTTCTTTTAGTCTTTAATAATCATATTTTTTCCTTTTCTACTTAGCCAAAATTTATATATTTTAATACATTTCACTTTTCTTATAATCATTAATCATATTTTTTCTTCCTTACCACTTATCCAAAATTTGTCTATATATTTTAACACATTTCCATTCCCCTGTTTTATTCCTCCAATATAAGGGTTCCTAACAGCATAATTCATATACAGATACACACACACACACACACACACACACACACACACACACACACAGAGAGAGAGAGAGAGAGAGAGAGAGAGAGAGAGAGAGAGAGTTATATAATCCTAAAGTAATTTTCAGCAAATTTTAAACTAAATGCCAATAGACATTCCCATGTAGTATCCCCCTTATACAATCCCTAACCTTTATCTCGAAATCTCGTGACTTTAACATTCCTTTTAATTTTGGGTAGGTTTCCCTTTTCTAAATTTCCCCAATCTTTCTTCTTTTTCCCTTCTGGTTCTATTTTTAATTCCCTCTGCCCATCAGTCATGTTCCCCCCAACCTTTTGAGTTCTCTTTATGGGAGTTTCTTCTTGTATATTCCCTCCTCCTCCTCCTCCTCCTCCTCCTCCTCCTCCTCCTCCTCCTC